AAGCAAGGAAAATGGACTAAACCGTCTTGTATTTAGCAGAACCGACTTCTGTGCGTCAGGATCCATTTATATTTTTTGAAGATGTGCTATTTATTTGGGGTTATTTCTAGTGTTGATATTTCAAAATAACTGTAGTACTAGTAATCTTTTGTAAGTGTTTCATATATTTGACGTGTCTGTTTCTGCTCTCTGCTTCAAGTGATTTATTGCCAGAATGCTACCAAATTTGTTTGTCATTTTGTGTTTTAAGATTAGTGGCGACGGTTAGCATGGACCCCGTGATTATTTGAATATTACCCTAGTTCGCTAACTACTGACACAGAGAGCTAACTCTCTGGTGTATGTCACATATGCCTTATGTAGTAGTGTCGGCCTCCTGCTTCTACCAATGTAGTGGCTAGGCTAGGGGCTGGACGACCGGGGAACGATTCCCGTCAGAGGTAGGATTTTTCTCTTCGCCACCCAGCTTCTTTCCAATGTGTGTAGGATGCTTTCCATAGGGTAAAGCGACCGGGTCATGAAACTTGACCCCTCCATCCTGTACCGAGGTTAAGAATGCATAGAGCTATATTTTCCTTCTTCCATAACGTCTTCATGACATGGTGATTACTCGAGCATGAGAGAAACTTTTACCTTCACTACTGTTGTTACCCGTTTGACTTTATACGAAGCCGAATCGAACGTTGGCATGGCGTTAAAGCCTCTGCAGATGAACCTCTTACTACAGAAATGAAAGGATGCGTGTGAATTTAACATCAATCCTTCATGTTTGCGCCGTTTGAAATGAAATTGCTTGGATAATGGGTTGACTGCGTTGATGTAATTACAGTGCGGAACAGCCTTTATTTCACTGGCACCAGCGATCTTATCTTCAGAATGTAATATCGCTCGGAATTGAATTGAGTTGAAGCAAACTACTCAACAAATTCAATTGCTGTTAAATCTTTTTCATTTTCCCTGCTATTGTACATTAGGAAAATTGAAAACGCAGCGCTCGCTGTGAAGTAATAATAAAATCACAGAAGTGAACGTGCAGATTATTTGCTTTGTGTTTTCTAATTGAAAACCTTGCTGCAAAAAGGGAGTAACTACACTTCTTGGCGAAGTAGACCTTAGCATGTCTTGGTATAATCTGCGTCGTCTGGTGTAAGAACGACGAATGTCTTAATGACGTTTGGAGCAAGGAGACAGCTCGAGAGGTATTCTTCGTGCCAATGACATTCAGTCTGACCAGATTAACAACGCAACCAAGACAACAGTGCTAGTATTTTTCAGAGAAAACGTATTTAGTTCTTTTAATTTTGGGGGTGTGTGCTTTTCTTGGTTGTTTGTTGCCTTTGCATTGTTGCATTTCCTTGGTTGTCGTGATGACGTGACGTCAATACACATGTAGAAACTGGAGAATAATAGGACAGATTTTTATTAAATTTGGTTTGGACGTTATTAAATTTGTGCGTTGTCTAAAATCGTCCTTCAGTCGTTGATATCAACGTAACGGTTTGCCATGTACTTGAGATGGGAGTGTGATGACTCCATTACTCCTCTGCACGTACTACTGGTTTTGAGCTAGGAGCGGTCATTTTTAAGTTGTATCTGTGAATCGAGTTTCGTATAATTGCGCATTTCCCTGGCGTCAAAGTAAAGGTTCAGAGATACTGGAACGCCACTTCCAGAAGGCATATAAATGTTTCTTAGAAGCGTCAGTGAAGTGGCTTGTAATTTTTTTGTTATGCGATCTGCATGAAGTGCTTAAAATTAATGCATTATGGGCAGGACGTGTCTGCCTGTCTATGTCTCTTCTCCTAAACAACCTAATCATTGTCGATTAAATTTGGTAGTGAGGGGTCTGCCTTACAAGTAAAAGTTATGTGAAGAATTTGGTATTGATTCATATAAATACTACTTAACTTGAAGCGAAAGTTGAAAGTTTTTAGAGGCCCAATGTAAGAAATGTGTTCACATGACATAGAGTATGGGCTGGATATCATTAAGTTGTGAACTTCTGTTGAACACAGATTTATGTAAAGCGTATTTTAACGCGATACAGAGAAATTAATTGAAAATTATAGTATCGGTACTACTCAACAGCTTTGTAAGATCATATTTGCGTTTACAACAAACTAAGCTCAAGATCATTATGGAATGCAGTATCGCAAATAATGAATCTGTACCTCCAAGCGAATACTTGGTAAACTACGTCTTCCTGATTAATTAACTACCGCTCGTCAGCATTTCATCTGAAGACGCTGTGACGTACACTGTAAAGCGTGTGTGGAGTGCTTCAGTCAGAGTTAATGATTATACAAAGAGCAGAATTATAAATATAAAATAAACCGGTTGCATAAAATTGATTACGTAATTTCCACAATCGATCCAGACAGTAGCACGCGAGTAGTCTGGAACAGCGGTCTCTGGGTTTAAATGGACTCTGAACTGTTCTGTTGCCTTGAAGTTCACCTCTCCAGAAGTTTACAAGAAGTCTTGCAATGTGATTAGCTCTGTCTTCTCCTAATAACTCTTGATTTAATGTCTCTTACTTCTTGTTCGGGAGATACCCGGTTCGAATCTCTTGTGGGAAAATTCATCTGTTGACAGGTATTTTGTGAAAACGGAACAGGCGAGGAACAGGAAGTGTCTTGTGCAGAATTGCCCTGGCTTGAGAATCCGCGCCTCCATTGTGAGAAGCTGGTGACTAATCGCCTGAGTTATATGGCATATATGCAATAATACAGAATGTCATAAAAAGATGTATAACTCCCTTGTAGCAGAACCCGCAGGTCCAACACCGACAATATTTGTAGCCCACCTCTGGATTCGATTCTGAGTTAACTCCATCTATCTATCATCCTCAGCCCAACTCTCTTAAGATCCATCTTGATATCCTTCCGTCTCCTTCATAGTCTGCTCAGTGGTCGTTTTCCAGGACTCCCCACCAAAGTTCTATATGTACCCCTTCCCCCCAATGTGTTCTACATGTCCAGCCCATCAGAGCCTCCTATATTTCGCTATCCTCACTATGCTAGGTGACCTGTACAATCCATGCAGCTCCTTGTTATGCAATATTCTAAATTCCCCACTTATTTCATCCCCTCCTAGGTCCAAATATCTTCCTGAGCACCTTGTTTTCAAACACTTGTAATCTACATTCTTCCTTCAAGGTAAGAGACCATGTTTCACAACCATACAAGACAACCGGAAAAATTGTTGATTTATATATCCTGATCTTTAGTGTTTTGGGTAGTAAACGTTTAGTAAGCGTTTTCCGAATGTATTCTACTCTTAATTTCATGATGGACCTCATTTCTACTTGTTATTGTTGTTCCCCCACCCCCCAAAAAAATGTATACGCATTATAATACGGAATATTAACCTTGTTACCTATCTCCGTGTGTTGTGTTTATTACGAGAACCTATTGCGATGTGCACTTAACAGATCTAGGACCTGTCTTTTCCCTACCGATTAAGAGGACGTAGAGAATCTATTGAGTACTGCCTGACTTTTCCTGTTGGGTTACTTGAAGGACGCGATGTACAGTATAAGCCAGCAACTCTTCAACTTTGGTGGCCGCTTGTTAGTCATTTGCTGATTGCTGTCAAGTGTGCCACGAAGCAAACTGGTCTCTTTGAACACCTGCACTAGATTCGCTAACCCACCAAGTGCCAGTGCTGATGTATGTAATGGTTTAAATTTATTAAAATTTCTTTCTTTCTTTCTTTCTTTCACTGAATGTGTGTATACATCTTTCAGGGACACTCTATAAACGATGTCCCTGCGTGTTTATTAAGCAGAGAAATCTAAAGTAGCACTTGTTCATTGTCTTAAATATTTACATAGGAAATTGTTTATTTCTTATGTCTTCACAGTAAACACTGAACTAGCACAGTACCCACAATGTTACTCTTACTCCGGGGAAATTCGACAAATGATAACCATTTCTTTTCAATATTTATTGCTGAAAGGTTGTCATAGGCTTGATCATTCGATATGTATTTTTGAATAAAACATAAGAAAATATTTTGTTTAAACCTAACATCTTCGCCGAGTCTCGAACCGAGGACAGTTTTTAGGTTTGTGACGTTAGTTTCTGTAATCTCCTCGTCGAAACAATTTTATTCTTTGCGTCATTCTATCGTTCTTTGTTCCCGACCTTCAGAAACCATTATTATTTGGACTTGAAACCAAGACAGTTCTTTTGGTGTTGTGTTCCTGTAATATCCTCGCCTATATGAACAATTTTATTCTTGGCATCGTTCAACTGTCATGCATAGTTTCCGTACGTTTGAACCTTAATTGTTCTTTTCCTGGCCGCAAGGAATGAGCGTGCCAAGTTTGGTACAAATCCGTTTATCCCTCAATGGACCTATAACCAAACATATAAACATACATTCTCTCTCTCTCCCCC